CCATGTCCCTTGGAAGATGAGGACAACTGGGCATCCTTTTCTAAACAGACTGCCAACTCAATCCCTGCTGCCCTCTTGCTGTTTGAAGGCCACCCTCTCCCAAGCCAGTCTCATTTTTTGGACGCCTACAACCACCTTGAGACTCATTCTTCTCTCAAACACCAATTTTCATTTTCCAAGAAGGAATACAAAACCCTGCCCTGCTCAGGGGAGCCAGTGGGAATGCCCACCCTGGAACAGCTCTTCAGAATAGCATGCTATCGACCGATTTTCCAGCCATGTTACTGGAAACTGCAGAGCTTCCACTAGAGTCACAGGAAAAGGACACTATGTGGTGAGCTCTTAGCAAGAAAATGAGTGAAGATTCAAAACTGCCTTGCAGTGCATTACTGAAAGCACAGAGATGCGAGATCATTCCCTGCAGACCTCTCCGAATCCAGTGCTGACCACTCAGAGCCACTGCTCCTGTGGATCAGGGCTATTGGCAGGGCCTCTGATGTTCTCTGGGGTATCTTAATCAAAAAGCCCAGGAGACCAGTTCATTTTAATTTGTGATAGTAAACAAAAGAGGAAGAAAAAAAACCCAGAATATGTGGAGGCTAGGCAGATGTAACTGACTGCGTGAATAACTGCCCAGCACTTCAAATAAGCAGGTCACGTTTTCAAGGCTGTTTCTACCAATGTAATTAGAGAAGTCCATGGGTGTCACTAACGCTGAAGAGGAAAAAAATCGACTTGGCTCATCCCCTTTTCCAGTACTGAAAGTAGCAGATAACTGGTTCGGCTCCACTGCCCCAGAGGACAAGGCCACGGGAGCAGGACGGTGGACCACTCCGCGCCGTGCTGGGAGCAGCCCGAGGAGGGCAGAAACTCTTGCCTGGAAACAGATCTCACAAACAAAACTCACCGTCATCAGTGCCAGGGCCACTAAGTCTACTTTCCTTTCCTCTTCTCCTTTCTCAAAAAAATAGAAAAAACATGGGCTAGCCCTCTGCTGGGATCAGGGAATTGAAATGAACACAGGGAATATCAAGGGAAAATCAGGCAAAAATCAAAAGGCAAATCCAAGTTGTATAACAGGGGCTATTTTAGAGCTTCAAGGGGACGTGCTAGATTTTAAGGACCTTAGGGAAAATAAGTACCTTGTGACTTCTGGATCCACCATACGCTCCTATACTCCTCTTACTTCTCTACAGCATTTAAGGCTCGTAGTGTCATTTCTCGAAGCAAATTCTCACAAAAGGATCCTCCTGTGTTAACCTGCCCTGGTAAGATCCATTGTCGGGACTGAACGACTGCACTCAAATATAGGGCAAGTGGAAACACCCCAAGAAACACCTCTCCAGAAAAGTTTCCTGCTTCCATGTATGCTGCCTTTGGGGAAGGGAAGAAGTGGGAAATAACCTTAGTGCTTCAAACGCCTGTAAAATAGAATGTTTTCTTAATGGCACAGATTACAAAGTCAGTTTTCAGGGCTTCCCTTATTATTCAGTCTTCCAGTTCCTATCATTTGCTAAATAAAACGACAAAGGTTTTAGACATAAAGCTATACTATTCACACCATGAGTGTGTGACTCTCACTTGAAGCATAGGCATCTCTCTTTTTCAAAGAAAAAGAAAAGGCGTATCTGCACAGGTGTTTAATCTACTGACTGAAGCAACACACTACGTTCTGGTCGCTATGAAACACTGCCTCATCAGGCAAGAAAACTCTGATGTACCAGTAATACAAAAAGTATCAACTATCATCTGCCATTTCCAGAGATGTGTTGCCAAACGTATGGGTGGGAGTGAGTTACAGTCTCCTGAATAAGACCAATACTATCAAACCAAAAGGCAAAACAAAATTCGAGAACATTAAGAGAAAACTTAAATTTTGTAAAATGCTCAGATGTTAAAAGAAAGATTAATTGCGAGAAGACAGCTAAAATAGGAAAACTGGGTAACTATATTATTGGTGGGGTTTAAAACACTCTCCTGAGATGACATACCTTTAATTAAATGACAAAAATAATAAGATATAGGCCAGGTGTGGTGGCACATGCCTGTAATCCCAGCACTTGTGAGGCTGAGGCAGGAGGACTGCTATGAGTTCGAGGCCAGCCTGGGTTACACAGTGAGTTCAAGGCCCACCTGGACTCAGAGTGAGACCCTGTCTCATAAAAGTCAAAATAATAATAACAATGATAATAATAATAATAATAATAATAATAATAATATGGTGGATTAGCTTATGCCCACTAGATGTGAAATATAAATGAAACATACTCGACAAAAAATGTTAACAACATTTTGATTTGTGAAAAGGTTTCTGTACATTAAAATCTGTGAACACAGTAGGGGAATTCATTATTTAAAGAAACCCAAGATTCAATTTTTCACCAAAGCAAAGAAATTTGTATAAAACATATAACTGTTTCTCTATTTTGTCTGGTTTGTAAATCCTGAATTACAAATATTAAGTAAAGAGGCAATTCACAGAACAAACACAAATAGCTAAAGCACATTTGAGAAAATGTTCAACCTCACCAATAATCCAGGAGATGGAAATTAAAAAGAGGCCCTTTTCACCTATAAAGCTGGCAACAATGTAAAATATTTACATTATCTACTATCTTCACCAGGAAGAGTGAAAGGAAAGGGGTAGGCATTTTCTTACATTAATACTAAAAATGGGGGCTGGAGATTTAGCTCAGCGGCACAGCGCCTGCCTGGCAAGCACAAGGTGGTGAGTTCGATTCCCAGTACCGGAAAAAAAACAAAAAAACAAAAAAACAAAAAAACTGAAAATGTAAATTGTAAGCCTTTTGCAGAGCAATTCTGCAATACTGATTAATATTTAAAGTGTACTCCCACACATTTCTAGGTATCCATTATAGAGATACTTGCACCAGTGCCCAGGGATGCCCTCCAGAGTGATGTTCCTACTAGTAAAAATTTAGCAGTGATTAAAAATTCATACACTGAGTGAAAAAAGCAAATTACAGAATGACAACATTTTTATCTCTTTTTAAGAACTAAATATGTATACATGACTGGATGGACAGATGTCTTAAGCAGAAGTTATTTCTAGCGGGTAGGAGTAAGAAGGGTATATAATTTCGCTTTTTATGCAGTTCAAAATTTTTCTGAGTATCATTTTTTTAATTTAGTTAAAAGGGAGTTACGTTGATGTGAAACTACGAATCTGCTAATCCACTAAAAGATCAGTAGACACTCTCCAGAGGAAACCACACAGAACCCCTAATAGCCTAATAACACAGCCACCATGAATTCACCAACAAATCCTGCTCAGAGGAACAAGTCGAAGAGGGACCAAGCCTACGCTGAATTTTTATGAAGAAAATCACACAGTTTTAAAATAACATCCTCACTTTTTGTTGGACAAGTACTCTCTGAGGAAATTCACTGAATATTTCTCTTACAAGTTTCCACTGGTCCCCACCCAAACCAAAAGTATCACCAAAACAATAACAGGCATGAATCCCATTAGCCCAGAATTTTTAAACTTTAAATCTTTAAACTTCCTAAAATCATGTTCCAGCCTAGACCTAAATCTCACCCATAAAGTTCAGGCCCACAACTTTGAAAAATAGAAGGGGCTACATCTTCCTTTCATCTTTTATGGAGACTGGTGCAATAAACCTTTCTTTTCTTTTTAAAAGGACTGTGTCTTGATTGCCAAATGTAACTCTCAAAATGATTCCTTAAGTAGGGTTTTTCAGCACAACTTGGAAGTAAGAAAAATAGAGTATTAATGATCATGATATCATAAAATGCCTCCCGTCAGCTATATGTACTATATTAGAAATAAGTTTGCAAATGTGAAAAAGGTTTTAAAAGATAAACAACTTACTAGCAGAATTTCAAACTTGTAAAAAGTACACACAGTGCCTCTCCCTTTCTCTCTAATGCACTAACTATTAAACAATGTTAGGACAATATTTTCCAGGCTAGAGTGTACTTTCCGCTTGCCCTAATAATAAGCCTATGCCCAGATGGGAAATGTAAACAGAACTAAATAAATATAATATAGATAATAAAGGGGCCGGGGATATAGCTCCGTGGCACAGCGCCTGCCTAGCAAGCTCAAGGTCCTGAGTTCGATTCCTGGTACCAAAATATATATGAGGAAGAAGAGAGCAGAAAGCTAATGAACTTGCGAGGCCTTCAGAAGCTATGAAGTGCTTTTTTTAAAGTTAAGTAAAGGGGCTGGGGATTTAGCTCAGCAGCACAGCGCCTGCCCAGCAAGCGCAAGGTCGTGAGTTCGATTCCCGGTACAGGGAAAAAAAGAAAATAAATAAGTAAAGTTAAGTAAAATGGAGAGTATGAAAAGTTAGACATTTGATGTATGTAAAATCCATCTGCAGATCAGAGAGGGGAACCAATGGGTTTTCTTCTGGATCCATGATAGTGCGCTGCATATGTTGCCAGATATTTAAAATGAAAGAAAAGGGCACCACATAGTCAGACTAAGGCAACTAGTCACTCTCAAATCACTGACAGAGCTTTAGAACGTGCCAACTGTAACCCGGATGACTATGGGTACTCTAAACCAAACCTTACTAGAATGAAGTATGGCCTAAAATTAGTTGCAGTGAATCCACGCAATACATAGGTAAAAGAGAGGATGAACAAATACAAAGAGAACAAGAAAGAAATGCCGCATGAATACAAAGTGATTCCATTTTTTCCTTAACACCCACCCACACAACACAAAGACAGGAGTTTCTGACAAGCATGTTCTCGGCAAAAAATAAAAATTACAGCAAAGGGTTTTTTTTTTTTTCCCCCAGAGAGAAAAAGGTAGTTCCACGTGCAGATTACTAGGCAATACCATACGATTTTTTTTACAGGCCCAAATTTGCAAACCATCTTTCAAAAATATCATCTAACTAACATATCTTTTGGATCACAAATGAACTATGGGTGAAAATACTGTTCCTGTTTGGAATGTTCATTTCATGAACTTGACAGTGAAATCCACTCAGGCAGCTTACCTTGGCACTGGAAGCCTTGTTTCCCAAACCCCCTGAAAAAAAGAAAGAAAACAAAAATCTCAGTCATGTGTTGGACACTACATTGCAAGCAAGTTGCATGACCAAGTACTCTAAAGAGTTAAAACGCTTGTGCATGAAATCTGGTGATTTGAAAGAAAAAACATATCTAACCATCTCTGCAGATTACTGGGTAGGTTCAACTATCAAAAAACTGTATCTTCCCTATTATGGATCACTGAATTATTTCAACATAGCAGACTTTCCAATTTTTTACACCATGATATTGATAGTTAAATTAAAAAAAAAGAACAGTCAAAGCTGTTGGCTATAATATTCAAGTAACAAAAAGAGGTTTACTTTTTTTAAGTGGCTTAATTTTGTTCCTAAAGACCAACTGAAATTTTTTTTTCTCCCTCAGAACAACTAAAAAGTGGCTTGTTGGATTTTTTCAAACTATTATGTGTCTACAAATGCCAAAAAAACACCACTCTTAACAGTTAACGCTAGCTTGAGGAACCAGATTTTATGAAATATGATTCCTGTTGTTTGCAACTGAGATTATCATGATCTAATTTTTATTGCAAACCAATAGCATTCAAAGTTCATAGGGGTTATTTTGTTCTTCTAAATGACTTTAAGGAATTTACTCTGTAAGCAGAGAACCCTGACATGGATATATGATTGCAAATAAGTATTAGAATGAACTGCACTAAACTTTCTTAGAGGGCTGTCATAATCTCATGCCTTACACAGCATTTTAAATTTACAAACCACTTCACATACTTTTACAATTAGTCAATCCCCCAGATACCATACCTAAATCCAAACACTTAGCTTTAAAATATCAGTGTTTGAGTACTGAAATACAACTTATAAATCCAACAGTCATAGAAGCAATAATGAAAATTGAAAACTTAAGCCCACTGCAAAACTATTGGAGTTTTTCTTGAAAACAGTTCCAAGATTAAGCAGAGAAGTACTGAAGGGATTATTCTGCATGGGGGCGGCGGGGGGGGGGGGGGAAGGGAAGAGATCTTAATTTTCTACTTCACAGTACACCAAATGACCTGGATGCCTCAACAGTTCACTAGGGAAGGGGACCAGGGATATAGCTCAGCGGCACAGTGCCTGCCTGGTAAGCACCAGGTCATGAGTTCGATTCCCTTTACAACAGTTCACCAGAGGCTGATCATTCAGGGCACTTAGACTGGAGAGATACTAGCCCAGGAGACACTGCATGTCCCTTTTCTAACTTACCTACTTCCTGTAAAAGAAATTAGCAGTCTGTCCCCTCTTAACAGAATCTCACAGACCTCTCCTTAACCAAACGCAGTATCTTCTCTTTTTCTTGATGTTCCAAAAACTCACTTTAAATAGCCTTATCTTCTATTACCCATTCCTTTCAGCACAATTGCTGCGAATGCTGACTCCCTGATGGAAATCATTCATAGAGTTGCCTGTGCTTTTCATAGACGTGCTCCTGCAGGAGTTCTAAAGACAGGGAAAATTAAGCACCCTATTAGCATAACATTCGCGGGACTCTTCCTTTGAGATGCTTTTCCCCAGATGGCATGGACCCAAGACAGTGCCATGCATTCTATATTCACCCTGGTGCCACGAGGGCGGCTAAAGAATGGCCACTGTGGCACTGACATCTTGTGCAGCTCCCGGGCCAGGGGAGGACCGAGCTGAGGACCGGAACCCCCACCCCCACCGCCCCACAAAGCGGAGGCAGCAGGGTCAGGGCGTCCTAAGAGAACATAGAAACGACTGCTACCCAAACCAGGGCACAAGAAGTTCCTTTAGTTCCAGCTCTCCGAACTTTTTTTTTGGGGGGGGGGGCATATACAAATGGATTTTTGTTTTGTGTATGTGGTTTTTTTTTTTTTTTTTTTTTTTTTGGGGGGGGGGGGAGTGGTCGCTGATCTTTGAAAAGTCAGATGAAAACTCATTCTCCCACCAGGAAAACAAAATACATAATCGAACACAATTTCACCTGCTTTTACAGGGTCCGGGGACCCCCGAAGCCCTCGATGTATTAATTCCCCGCCAGCCCCCAGCTCCCTCAAGTTAACAATGCTTATGTTCTTTGGGAATCACCTGAACTCCGGCACCTTTAGCCATCACACTTTTTTTTTTAAAGTTCTATGTCCTCATCGACAGGGTTACGGGTGTAATCTCGTGTTGACAGCGTCTATTTTAAAAGACTCCCTCTGCCCTTCTGCCATTTGCCTGCTCTGTTTGGCCCTCCCTCCCCCGCTGGCAGCTTTCAACAGTTTGCTGCTGCCTTGCCGCCTCTCTCTCTCTCTCTCTCTGCTCGCGCAGAAAAGTCAAAGTCTCCGTGCCCTGCAGACACAGCCTACAGTAGGCAGAGACCCAAGGCTCTGGCGGAGTCCCAGCCCGGGGGGAAAGCACAGACACACTCCCGGATCGCGCCCAGCTCGGCTCGCCAGCAACTTGGCCGGCGCGCAGCGCGGTCGCCGCGGTCCCCCGTTACTCCAGGGTGCGCTTGTCCGGGAAACTCAGCCCTCGCGAGTCTTCCCCGGCCCCTTTCCTCAGTCCCCGGCAAACTGGCAAGCGGGCGCGTCTGGGCCGAGGGGGGCCGGCCGCGAGCAGACCCGCGCCTCCCCGCGGCAGGGTGTGTGGCGGGCGGCG